GACAAACACCAATTCTCCACCTGATAAGGTCGATTCGACTGATGAACTGAAGGTGTCGCATCATACAAAATAGCCGCACGCATGGTCCGAAGTAATTATAGGTTCATGGAAAATTCTTCCTTCGGGGAAGTCATGGAACCATTTCGAAGTTGCATACGCTATATCAAGACGCTCCATAATAAGTTGATTCCCTTCTCTCTTATTGTTCCAAGTATACCTTGGCCCCGAATAAGGCACCTCCCAAAGGTTATTTTGTAAGCGCCAATCTTCAAACTCATCCAAACCCTTAATTCTTAAGGATCCCCCTAACTTATCACAAGGACTATCAATTTGATTAATATCCCCTATAATCAAGCAATTTGGAGTTAGACTTAGTAACAAAGAGATGTCACTCCAAACACTAGCTCTATCTTCTACTTTAGACGCTCCGTACAAAAACAAAACATGCCTACTACTTCCATTAGCTTCAACAAGCTTAAAAAAGATAAAGTTTGGAGAAGAAACAATACAAGTAACCCCCCTTGGTACCAACCAAACAGGGCTAAACCACCCTTACTACCATCTGAGTCCACCCCATAAGAAAAATTAGGGGAGAACTTTGCTACAAGACTACTAACATTACTAAAGGACATCTTAGTCTCCGACAAGAAAACAAAAGTAGGCAATTTACTAGTAATTAACCACACTAAATACGGGAAAGTAGGGGATTGTGTGTCGTTAAGTCCCCCACAATTTCAAGAGATGAGCTTCATATATCCTTCAGGGGCTGAATCGGTGCAGCCGCCTCACCATCTTTGATTTCCATCGAATCTGCCAAAATATGTTGAACATCATAGTCGAACTCGTCCAAATCACAAAACATCTTTGAAGTGACCTCATCACTTTTTTGCTTTTTTGATCTCCCCGAAGAAGAAGACGAGCAAGAGGCCATTCTCTTCTTCCCAGCCCGCCTAGTCAGCGACGAACTTAGGCTCACTCCCCACAACCTTGCAGTGTCCACATCGGAAAAGGCCTGGGATTTAAACTCAAATCCATTATCTTTATCTCGTTGCCAAATACTAAAACCCCCTTTTTCAGCCCATCTTTTTAAAGCCTTCAACCACTTCTTTTCAGCCCACCCTTGATCATAAGAGCTTTCCCTGACATTGTCCCATCGCACGACCGTAAAGGAGTATCTTCAACACTCCTCGGCCTCTTTGAAGCCCACTTATCCATATCAGATTGCAGTTGATTAATGAGATCATCTATTCCTGTTTGAGATGCTGGGGAATTCGGGGGATCATACTCTGTGAGGGGAAGATTCACAAATTCACTTCCAAAGGAATTTGGGCAGAACGGCACATAGGGAGACCTTACACGCTCCGGATACACCCTTCGATCCCGAGAATTGGCCAAAGAGAGCGTCAATCTCCGCCCTGTTTCCACGAAATTAAGGTGGTTAACGTCTAAAAATTCATCAAAGGAGTCATTAGATAACCTTGGTAATGTTTCTGGTAGCATCGATGTGTTTCGAAACCCCACATTTGCTTCACCATATGTTTCCCCCAAACCTTGATTCGCTATGTCCTGAAATAACCCAGACCTTTGAATTTTCCAATTATCGGAGTTCCGAGGAAGTTGTTGGATCCCTAAAACCTGAAACAGAGTGCGCGAAATTGCCTCGCTCTCTTCCCTTTGCGCCACCGCCGCCGACGACTCCCCCACTTCATAGTTGGCGGATCCGAATCTAGGGAGTGGTGGTGGGTTAAAATTTTCTAAGGGGGAGTTGTAAGAGCTAATAGGGTCACGCCGGAAATTCCCATATGGGCGGAACTCCGGCCTAACTGGTGAGAGGGTAAAGTGGTTTGTGGGTTGAGTTTGATTTTGGGATGTATTTGGATTTGGATAGGAATTCAGTCCCGAGTGTAGGGGTGAGATAGGTGTGTTTAAATTTGGCATGGTAAACTCGGCATAGGGGTCGTGGTTCAGACCAATTCTCCGTCCCGGAGATAATCTCAGCGCCGCTTCACCAATTCTTGCCTCCCTCGCATTTTCATCCTCAATTTCACCCCCACTCGAACTATCCGAGCCCGTGAAATACACCGTATCATTGCTGTCATCTGAAAAGTCTGAGTCCGTCACTTCTACATGTTGTTGCAGCTCTGCCAAGGGTATATCTTCCGGTTCCTCCAGCCGGGTTAAGTTGACCGCAAGATTGCGGTACCGGAAAATATCTGGGAGCCCCTGCACAAAGTTAGTATAGTAGGGGTAATCTAAGGGTCCATGCAACACCCTTAGACCATCCCTTTCCACCGCCGCAAGCCGCCTTGAGAGGCGTCGCGACGCTACATCAATTCTTAGCCTACAATTACTAGAATTATGGCCAGCACAACCACACCGTTTATAGAAGCGAAAAATACCTTCATACCTGAAATAGACCCATATCACACGGCCATCTGATAAAGGAATGTAGCACCCGGGAATTAAAGGCTGAGATATATCGATCATCATTAGTGCCCGCAGCTCAGCTATGTCAGGAAGTCGGCCATTGGTAATCGGCTCGAGCATATCCAAATACCCAAGGTGGCAGAAAATTCTTCTTGCCCACGCTTCACATAACGTCTTAAATTAATAAGACGACCTTCAAAAGTTGTCGTGTACTGTCTTACCAACCCATCCAAATCATTCTGATCGAGACATTCGAAAATATAAAAATTCCCAATACGATGAACTCGCACATGCGCCCTAGAGACCCATCTCTGATTAATAATGTGTTGAACATAAGTGACAGGAGGAGGGTTGGGCCCTACAAAAACTCCAATAGCACACCTATTGAAATTAAGGATTCCTAGAGCATTAAAATTTTGTGGAGGAGTAACTAAAAAAACCCATCCTATGGGGTCTGGGGTTGTTTGTGTTTGGAGGAGGGTTATTATTCTCCATGATGCAGAGAATAACAGAGAAAGAGAAAGGGACAGCTAAAGAACAAAGAGAAGAGAAGGTGGATGTGTAAGAAGAGGAAGTAAATGCGAGAATAAATAGCAGCCAAAGCTTAGCAGATTAAGCGAAGCCCGAGTGCATGGGGAACATGTGTCCTTCCATAAATTCTCCGGTGGTTTCTTGTTATAGTAAAGAATAGATCCAGATTGTTGGGATCAAGGTAAGAAAGAAGCACTCCTACAATCCTATTGGGTAAGAATAAAAGGTGATAGAAGAGGAAGGGATTTTATGAGATTGATTTTGTCGAAAAGGTTAAGAAAAGGCCATTGCATGCCTTGGTAAACTGGAAAATCAAAAGGTAATCTCCTTTTGAAAGTGACAGAAGAGAGAACCTAGGAGGAAGAGTAGCGTTTTCCAAGAACTAGGGTTAGGGTTTTGGGCAAACCAAGAACTCCAAAGGGAGACTCACTTCTAGTGAGATAAACTCTCAATTGTAGAGAGATAATCGTATTGTTTTTAGGGGTTTTGGGTGTGAAGGGGATTTAGAGATGAAGCTATTGCCTTTACGGCTATTGTACACATTGATATCAATGAATATAGTATTAGGTTAGTTGATGGCCTGATGGGTGTAGTAACTATGAAGGGGTGTTCAATAATCTTGGATCAGATCGAAGAGGTACGATTTTTGGGTTTGGTTTCATGACCCAGAAATAAAAATTTCTAGTCTTTGGTCTGGTCCAGTGATTACGGAACTGTGTGGTTCATGAGTGGTTGGTTTTGGTAATGAAGGACAATTTTTCTATGATTTTTTAAACACATTATTCATATATACTTAGCATATTTAATTTAGTAATAAAATGGGGAAAATGGAGAAAAATTAAATAATAATGAGTAGAGCTTGTTATTGGAAAGCTAAGGAATAGATATTGGGGTTAAACCCTTAAAAAGGTTTTTATTTAACAACGCAACAGTTCAATACAGAATTCAATACAGAAACTGTTCACTTACTATGGTTATAGATAATTAAAAACTCATTTCCGTTCATTGTCTGAATAACGCCCATTGTGAACCTCTATATTACGAATTAGGGGGAATATATATATTTTCAAACAACATTATATGGCCTTGTGATGCACCTCTCACTGTCATCACTTGAGTTGTGAAAATGAAATGATTGTGTGTATCATAGCCACTACTATTGGAAAATTTTCGTACTTTATTGTCTTTGGAAGGGAAGGAGACAAAATGTTTTCAAGTACCCCACACAAACCCGGGAAGCCACGTGAGTACTTAGAACTATCTACTTTTCCTTTTAACTACCAAATTTGTTGATTACACATTCGCCTCTCCCGTCGTTGATTCAAGACAATTATTTACCTTTATGTGGCCGTGGCGGCAATATATGTTCACAGAATGTTTTATTACCTTCGGAATTGTCCATCACCATCACTTAATTTTTCAATTCAACATTGAATCTTGAAGCCTCTGAAGTTAGTCCATATGAATAATATGGACTTGACAAGGATATTCATCAAGGTGCCCAAAGGACCTTAGGAGGTCTATTCGATTAGTACCTGAAATCATTAGATTCATGTCTTGGTCCAAGATTTTTTCACCACTCGTAAATTATATTTTAACATGCTTTAGTTATGTCTGGTTGTGCATTGGCTTTCCAAAAAAATGCCCCTAAAACAAGCCAAGATACTATCCTCTATTAAGTGTTTTTTTCAGGGAGAGGTTTTTTACATTGTTTTAGTGTTTAAGATGATTTAGCTATGCGCCTATGCCTTGTTGCGCGTTGACTTTTCAAAAAATCCCTCTTAGACAAGCCAAGATGTTATCCTCTAGTAGCATCAATCTCCAATTTGTAACAAAATTTATACAATAATCAAGTTTAAAATTGCCAAAAAAAATTATAAGGTTATTTCTAACAAAAAAAAGCATTCTTAAAAATGGTTTCAAAAAATAAATAAATAAATTTGTTTCTAACAATTTTTCTCACAAAAAAAATTACTCACATTGAATGGAAAAAAGTTGAATAAATTCTAGCCTAAATAGATACTTTAATCTTATATGCCTATGCCAAAAAAAGGCTTTAGCTTTGTGTCAAATGATAGTGGGACTGTTGGGAGTATTCTCTCTCCATTTCCTTTCTTGAAAGCTCAAAAGGTTGGACATGGAAATCTGAAACTTCGCAGTCTCTTCATTCTCTGGTTTCTCTCCATTTTTTGAATTCTGGGTTTCACTTTTTCTTCTGGACAGGTTTGCCTTCTTCAGCTCTTTCTTTATTCTGGGCATGGAAGTATACCAATTTTGAGATAATTGTGGCTTAGGGTTTTCAGTTTTGTCAATGGAAAATTACAATTTTCTCCATTTTCTGCTCTTACTTTCATGGGTTTTCCTAATTTCTGTACCTTGCCATGGATTTATGATTAAGCATATGTTAATGGAGTCAGAAACCCCACCACCTGTTTCTTCTCCTGCTTTGAAAATTGAAGTTGAAAGGGTTGCATTTAGCATTTTCTCTGGAATTATTAGTGGTTCTATTGCTGCTATTCTTGTTGCTGTTATGATCAGATGCTTTGTTCAGTATATTAATAGAGCTCCTATTCTCAAAGGCCCTGTTGTATTTTCCCCGAAAATCGACCCGAAAACACTTCGTTTAGCTCTAGAAAATGAAAATCAGCTTATAGGATCTAGTCCAAATGGGACTTACTATAGAACTTCTCTTGATAATGGTCTGAATATCGCGGTCAAGAGCCTCGAGCCCTTTGAAATTGGGTCCCCGGAAACTCACAATAAGGGCTTAAAGAGAAAATTACAGCAGGAACTTCAGGTTCTTGCTGGGTTAAGACATAGGCATTTGATGAGTTTGAGGGCTTACGTTCGTGAATTGGATCGTTTCAGCTTAGTTTATGATTATATGCCCACAGGAAGCCTTGAAGATGCTATGAGTAAAGTTCGTCTCAATCATTTGCAAATGGGTTGGGATGTTAGGCTTCGAATTGCTGTGGGTACTATAAAGGCACTCAAGTTCCTGCATTTTGAATGCAATCCTAGTGTGTTGCATTATAATCTCAAGCCTAGTAATGTGATGTTGGATGCAGAGTTTGAACCCAAGCTCGCAGATTGTGGTCTAGCTAATCTTATGCCCAAGTTGTATCGATCACCAAATGCATATAGAGCTCCTGAGTTATCTCAAAACTGCAGGTGAAACTGATGTCTCTTTCACTTTATATTACTTCTCTGTTTGATAATTTTTTTACTGTTCTAGTGGGACTTGTTTTGAATTGCATGGTAGCTTGGATTAACTACTAACCAAAATATGCTAAGATAACCAGAATTGTGTCATTTGGTACTTTGCTATTTGCTAGGCCTTGATTAATGTCTTGAAAGAGTTTCCTCACCTGGTGATTCATCATATGAGGCAAGAAAGTCCATTTTGAAATAAGTTAATTGCCAGCAGAAAATGCCAGAGTAGGGGCAAAAACAATTTTTAATTCATTGACTCTGTACCTTTGGTGTCCTTGCCTTTTATTCAGATGTTAGAGATGCCCCTTTTGCTTTCATCAGAGATTCAGAGTACATAACAAATTAAAAAAAACTTGTTGTATAAATAATGTCTTTCCTTGATTAATGTCTGGATGTTGACAATCTACATTATACACACACATAGCCAAGTATAGACGTTCCTATTTTTGCTGTATTAATTGGTTGAGGGGGGCTAAGGTATATATTTCTGCATTAATTATTGTTGTTAAATGCTTGTTTGTTATGTTTTTGTTCTTCATCAATCTGTTAGTTTATTATAGGTTTGGAGAGAAGGGTGTCAGTGTGTCTCAGTGGGCAAAAAAACACCCCTGAAACAAAAGTGCTGTCTCATTACTTCTCCCGTTGCTTGTATATGGAATTAAATTTTTTGGTTAGATTCTGAATGCAAGTGCAGAAAAAAGTTCCTTCCTGAAGGCTCATTCTAGAATTGTCCTAAATTCTGTATCTTGCTTTCTGTTGCTACAGATATACAGATAAGAGTGATGTCTTTAGCTTTGGAGTCATTCTTGGGGTACTTCTGACTGGTCGAGACCCCTTAGAACCATTTTTTGGGGAATCAGCTAGTGGGGAATGTTTGAACAGGTGGCTGCGGCAATTGCAGCAAGCTGGAGAAGCTCAGCAAGCTTTGGATAAAAGCATACTTGGGCAAGAGGCTGAGGAAGAAGAGATGCTTATGGCAGTGAGAATTGCAGTTGTCTGCATGTCAGATCTCCCTGAAGACCGTCCTTCCAGTGATGAACTTGTCCCAATGCTTTCTCGTCTTCACAGTTTTTGATGGTGATGTACTGGTGTGAATGGCCTATTGGGACCTGTTAGTCATGTGCAGGTTTGAGGGCTTCATTGATGGAGTATCTCTCTTCATTGTCCTCGCTGTGGGAAAAACCAGCAAATACTTGAGGCTCTCACACTGATTCATTGTATATGTATTGGAAAGAAGCAAAGTGGATTGTTCATGAAAATCTTAGACGAGGTGTGCTAGGTTTCTAGGATGCAGCGGGCAATGAGATATACTTTAAAGAGAAAATTTGTAATTGGTTGTGAGCACCAGATCACCCTCTTTAGATTGTGAACTAAGTTTCCTTGTAATTTCGCTCACTTGGATGAAAGAATTATCTTGCAGAGGACGAGAGGTGCAATGTAAATTTCACTTGTATTAATGTTATGCTGGAGGCTCTTGGGGTGTACTATACTGCTGGAAATGCCTATTTTTAGGAAGCAGTAGACTTGGAAGGTCAGTTACCTTGTTTCCATTTGTCTAAATCACCCCACTGTCCCACATGTTTTAGAGTAGCAATGAGCTTTCACTCTTAGTGTTACATGCCTCTATAATACAAGAAATACTGTCCAGAAATAATGAGATTGTTGAATGAACAAGGAAGTAAACATGTTTTCTTAATTGTTTGTGGGAAAAATATTTAGGTTGCATATAAGGAACTAAAAGTGGAAATATTAAGCATGATTAAACATTGTTGCATTAATAACATGAATTGGCATGATGACTTCTACGTATGTACAAGTATTTTCTTTCCACATATGCGTTTTTAAGCTCGTACATACCAACAATTAATGAATAAAGAAAGTTAAAATCTTTGCTTGCATAGGACCTTGGTTGTGGTGGGCTAGTGGCAATCTGGGTCAATAGGTCGAGTTTGGATCAAATTTCGGGTTGAGTTTGGGTTGAGTTTAGTTTGTTTGTTCGGGTTTCTCTCATTAATTTCGGGCCGGGTTGTTGGGTCAGGGATTTCCAATCCCGGCAGACCCTGCTTAAAAGAATCCTTCATTTCCCATTTGAACTTACAAAAACAAATTTTCTTTGAATTCTAATCGTTCTTGAGAGTCGTTGAGAGTAACGGAAAAGAGGATGGAACTAAAATTCAAAATTGTAATAAAGCCAGTTAACAATCTATCAAGGCAGTTAAATTAGTTATTATTTAACTCGTCAGCTGATTGAGTTGACCAGTGATAAACATCCTTTTAATAGCAGAATTGTTTTTTTAAAGGGGGAAGGGAAGCGTAAGACTAATGAAAGGGTTGAATGATGACAACGTGACATCCAATTAAGAGATTTTAAGAAAGTAATTATATATGATGAAGTTATGTTACTTCATGTAATATTATATTAGTAGATAATTGAAGTTAGAAAATTTAGTATTCTAATGATAAATGGTTGTATAAATGAGCTGTCTGAGAATTATATGAATGCATTATTCTCCTCGGTAGGAGGCTTGATATTGACTACTCCCTCCCTCCATTCCTTTTATTTGTTACGTTGTGACTTTTTAGTCTCAATTATACATGACTACGGGTATCTACGATTATATCAATAAAGTTTTAAGGCTTATAATAGTATATATAAATAGTCAAAATCTTTAAAGGTTGTCCATAAAATAATAGTTAAAACGCAACAAATAAAAAGGAATAGAAAGAGTAGTATAATCGCTTGATAAACTAAAAATGTATTATATATCAACAAAGAGCGAAATATTAATCAAAGAAAAGTCTATGCTGAGAAGAAATAAAATAATAATCATCTGACCAGAATATGATTAACTTAACCCAATTTGTGCATCTATTATATGCAGAGTGTTCCGGCATTGACAGGGGACATAGAAGAGTTCAAGTATCCTTCATAAGTTTAAGCTAATCTAACATAATCTCCTTTCATTTTTACATTTCATTATTACAGTAATAATAGTTACAAACATGAGAGTTTCTTCCATTAGTTTATCTCTGATACTAATCCTGATTGTTAGGAATGCCTTCATGTCAACGGGTCAGAGTACTGGTGGGTCACCGCCACCAGCAAACCAAACAACTACAGCTGCGGCACCACCACCAGCAAACCAAACAACAACAGCAACCGCGGGTAGGGAACTAAGGATTGCGGTTCCAGTGAGTACCTACAAAGAGTTTGTAAGCATCACCACTGATCCTCTTACTAAGAAACAGAAGATTGATGGCTTTTCGATTCAAGTCTTTGAGGCTGTCGTTAATACAGCTTTGAGCAGTCCCTTTGATTATAAGCTGATCCCTTTTTCTAAGCCGGATGGAACATTTAACGGAAGCTTTGATGACATGCTTAAAGCAGTCAATAATCAGGTTCATCAACTACTAAATATACTTTTATGACTTTGAACATTAGACTAAATTATAGTACTCTTACATGTATCTAACAAATGCAACGTGTTATGTGTATGTAAATGTAATGAGCAGGAATATGATGGGGCTGTTGGAGATACAACAATCAGATATGATAGGTCGCAGTGGGTTGATTTTACTCTGCCTTATTCAGACACAGGAATAACAATGATGGTTTCTACAAAGCAGCAACACCATAAAAGCACCGGAATCAAGTTGATGCCTCTGATCAAGGGTTTGGTGTCTGCTGCACTTGCCTTTTGCTTTGTTAGTGCTCTCATCTTTTGGTTCGTGGAATTTAGAAATGACAAAAGTAGACAGTCACAAGCACCATTAGGTACCAACCCACCAGGACAACGTTCAAATAACGATGACTATTGGCGGAGTAAGTACCCTCATCCGTCTCTTTTCTTCATATTTGGTACTACTATCCTGCAATGCTTAATTAAACTTCATGATTTAAAGTTACAAAGGAAAGTAGTCCATCCAACTGTTGTTGTGTAAGACAGTAGTTGTTCAATTATATGACCTTTTTTTAATCATAATTGTTTATGTTTGCCTCCTTGATGGTGAATGCAGGGGAAACATTGAGAGCAATAATACATACAAGGCTTGTGATTGTACTGTGTTTTCTAGTGTTGTTGTTCTTGACTTCCTGTTATGCCGCCAGCTTGACTTCATTGCTGACAGCACAGCGGCAAAGAAGTTCAGTCAAAACAATAGATGAGCTCATACGAAGAAGAGAAAATGTAGGGAATCAAAAAGGATCTTTTGTCCCTCGCTTGCTAATTCAAAGAGGGTTTTCAGAAAGTCAAATTCTTACCTATGATACAGAACAGGAAATGATTGATATGCTGGCTAAGGGAACTGTTGCTGCTGTTATTGACGAAACTCCATATCTCAAAGTTTTCCTCTCTAAGAACTGCAATAAGGGCTATAATCTTGTCCCTTCCTTCGATCTTCATGCAGAGGGATTTGGTTTTGTACGTATTTCTTATCTTTTTCACTTGTAATAAGTGCATAACCTTGCATACTGATATGAACTTGTTCATTTATATGTATGAGATTGCAAAATATGCTAATGATGTGAACATTCTCCAAATTGTAGGCTTTCCAAAAAGGATCTACCTTGGTACAAGATATGTCAAAGGGAATATTAAAGTTATTGGACAACGGTGTATTAGCAGATATTCAACAGAGAACAATCGGTAATCTTGAAGCATGTGAAAATGAACCAGATGTAGCTGATCTTGATGCCAATGTATTGGACTTCGATACTCTATGGATCTTGTTTGCCGGGGCAATAGGTGTTATAATTTTGGTGATCATCTTGTATATGGTCTACTTAGGAACCACCTGTGATACTGTTAGAAGAAGAGTTGCCTTTCCATGCTACCTACTGCCGCGTTACCAAGAAAGGAAGAGTTAGTCTGCCTAATTGAGCTGCCTGAATAGAAATTCCTACTGAAGATCTATACAGCATCAGAGTGTCCTTAAATTAGTTACTGAAGGTCTATGCGTCTGTGCGTTTTGTGTGATGGATGAGTGATTTATTTTGTAAGTCTGATGAGGTTATATGTTTACAGTATGATGTGTAATGTCAACCAATAGCTAGACACCTATGTCAATTGTGCAAGTAATTTTCCATTCTTTTTTTGGTTTTGAGAAACTAATTGTAACTGTGAATTAAGTATATACAAGTATCATCCAAAAATTCCTGCAGTAAAACTGAAATCAAGTATATATACAAGCATCATCCAAACATAATTACTGTAAAACTGAAGATCACTTCATAATCTCTTTCTATCACTTATGAACCATTTCATTTATAAAGTTAATTATAGATTAGCATGATTTCAGTTATTTTTTTAATTTTTTTGAATAGCATTAAAAACTGAGAACGGAGGAATTATGCTTATAATTGAACAATCATTATTGGTATGAAGAGTATTTTTTAATCAACAACAATACTAGAAAAATATGTAGTTTTTCTGACATTCTGGTAATATAAATGCTATTAAACAAAAATTATACCCTTAGTCAAATCAGAGCATACATAATTCTCTATAAAGTAATAAGTTCGTAGCTGTATTGAGAATAACATTATCTAAACTATAATTGAAGTTTTGTTGAATGGAAAATCAATAATCTTCAGTTGTTTTCCTTTGACTTGAGCAAATGAAAGGGATTAGCACGTCTAATTATTATAAGAATCCATAATTTGAAGTAACATCGGATTTATTAATGGACCAATCAAAGAAAAAAAAAGTCTTATCATCTGAAAATGGCCAGCTACTTAATACACAAAATTGTCACAACTCACAAGTCAACCAATCTTGTTGAATGATTAACCTGTTAGAGTTTTTGTTTAACATAAGTATAGGGGATCACGATAGTTTTCCATTGTTTTGAAATAATCTTGACTTAAAAGTATTATTAACTGGTTCAACAGCAATAGCTTTTAACTGGTGTTATTTCATTTTTGAAGTCTGAATATTTGAGCTTTGTGAAATTTTAGGAAAATACTAATTGAAAGTAGTAAGATTAATACATGAGTGGTGATCTGTAATATGGAGTCTTATTGTTTGGGTGTCCGCGTCACCAGAATGGTCCTGCAGAAGATGCTTTTGATCCTGAGTCTGCTACTGCTAGTATTAGATGAAGTATCCAGAGGAGGTGCTGCTTCCACTGGTACAGATGATCCCGCCTTTATAGGCTACAACTGTCCGGTGGATGGCTACTCTTACACTACAGGCAGTCCGTTTGAAGAAAAATTGAAAGATGCCCTTTCCACCCATCTGGTTGCCAATGCCTCGCGTTTAGCCTTCTCAAACTTTACCACAGGAGAAGGTGTTGACCAAGTGTATGCTATGTACTACTGCAGGGGAGATGTTGGTCTCCAAACCTGTCATGATTGTGTTGATAGTGCTGCAACAAAAATTTTAGATGTATGCAAACTACTGAAACAAGGCATAGTTTGGTACGAAGAATGCACCTTGCGTTATGCCAACTACTCCATCTTCTCCTTTGATACCCAGGATCTAAACCGTTATTTCCCAAGACATAACAACACTCCTGTTATGGGGATTATCTCAATCAATATCAGCCAATATTTGACAGCACCATGAGAAGCCTCGTTGATCAGGCAGCTAATAATGATAGCCTTACACCGCAAGGTTTTGCCACAACAAGTGTTAGACTCTCATCATCTCAGACATTAAGGGGGATGGTTCAATGTGTTCCCTACATTACTGGCACATCTTGTCAGAGATGCCTCACAGCGGCTCTCAGGCTAATGGATCTTTGGACCACTACTATGGAATTTCTTCCGATTTGTCTAGTTGGGTTTGAGTTGTATGGATTACAGCCTTCAGTCCCTCCACCTTCTTCATCAACTCTACCAGGTAAGTGGTAACAATCTCTGGATATCATCACTTGCCACCACTGTGAATTACAATGCTCACACTAATTATAAATTGCACTGCGATTAATTTGTTGCCTCCCTTGATATTTTGACAGTACGCTTTAAGGTTCTTATACCCCTGCTATCTGTGGTTGTAATTTTATTACTTCTCTGTGGCTTTTGGTTTTGGAAGCGCCATCCTTCAAAAGGTAAGAACTAGTAAGGTTGTATAATTCAATTCAGTTTTAGTTTTAGTTTTAATTTTAATTTTCTTGTATAATTCAGTTCAGTTTTACTTGATGATAAGAATTATCTTCATCTTTGCAATTGTACCTGTCTTTGAAGCATAATCTGTACAGCTAACATACTAGTTTTTACTTTTTCTCTGTTCAGGAGATAAACACCCATCACCTGGAAAACAGCAAGACAATCCTTTCATCCATGATTCAAAAGAATACGGTTGAGTTCATTTCACAAACTTTTATTTTGTAAACTATACAGTACTAATTTCTAGCCCCATAGTGAACTAAACTAAAAGATAACACCGATATAATTATTTTTCCAATACTCCAAGTTATAACATAAAACAATGATTACAGAACCGCCAACTGAAGAAAATCTAGAAGCAAATGAAAGAGGGAGGCAGCATGGTTTGGCACAGTTTACCTATTCTGAAGTGGAAGACATGACAAGTGGATTCAGGGAAAAAATAGGGGAAGGTGGTTTTGCAGTAGTGTATCATGGTTGTTTAAAAGATGGCAGCAGCAAAGAAGTTGCAGTCAAGGTGTTCTCAAAGTCCGAGGCCCCTAAGCAATTTAGCACTGAGGTTCGTAATTAGGAAACCAAATAGAGAATCATGCTTTCTTGATTTCATTTAAGCTATATGATATGAGAGCTAAAGCCTTAAGAAATGTTTTTGACACAGATTGAAGTGCTTGGTCGAATTTCTCACAAGAACTTGGTTTCTCTCGTTGGATATTGTGAAGAAGGAACCAACTTAGCGCTTATCTACGAGTTTATGGCCATGGGAGACTTGAAAGCTCTTCTCTCAGGCAGGACCTTGCATCTTAATACAGTCCTTCATTTTTTTCCCCTAGCTGTTGCACTTATTGATTGAACCATATGTTTTTTTTTTTTTTTTTTTTTTTTTTTTTTTCCCTTCAACAACAATCAATTTGATTTTTGGGTGGTTTATGAACAGAATATTCTGACTCTATAAGCTGGATAAAGAGAGTTGAGATAGCAATCGACGCAGCTCAGGGTGAGAGATATATGATAACATTCGTTTCTTTTTCTGAAACAGATTTTTTATCAGATCACTTGATCACTCAGTACATTAAAATTTGTTGTGTAACTCTCTATTTGTAGGACTGGATTACTTGCATCATGGTTGCAGCCCGCCTATAGTCCATAGAGATGTAAAACCCGCTAACATTCTTCTGAACAAAGAATTTCGAGCAAAGGTAGCTGATTTTGGGTTTTCCAAAATCTTCCCAGCTGAATATGTTTCAAATTTACAAACAAGGGTTGTTGGAACACTAGGCTATCTTGATCCTCAGTAAGTGAGCCATTTCAGTCATTCTTACATTACTATCTTACAGATTCTAACACTCTCTGATCAAAGTAATAGTGCACACTACTAATTAAAGTGGGCTAAAACTTTTATGGCACAATGATTATTACAGGTATAATTTAACAGGACAGGTGCATGAAAAAGGCGATGTTTACAGCTTTGGAGTTGTTCTGTTGGAGCTAATCACAGGCAAAACAGCAATAGTAAACAGAGTCATGAACTTGGGTCAATGGGTTAGGAGCGTGCTTGAAAGAGGGGATATAGCCAGCATACTAGACCAAAACCTGAGACACGGTGTAGATGAAAACTATCTCACAGTGTGGAAAACAGTAGAACTAGCAGTGAGATGTATTCAGCTAGAAATTTCAGATAGGCCAACAATGACTCAAATAGTTACAGAACTCAAAGAATGTTTGAATATGATGAACACAGGAAGTTCTAGTTCAGCTAAAGACTCTCTAGAGATGATGAGCGCAGCTATTTCAAGTAGTACAATGTCTCCCACACCACGCTAGCTAGCTAGCTAACACGAGTCAGTTTTTAATTTTTTTGAAAGAAAGCTAGCTTATACTTCTGTTATGTACTCATCCCATTCCTTGATTTAAAGCATCAAGCCTTTATTCAACTTTGTGTATTCTTGCTTCTTTTTGAATTGATTAAGGGTGAATCTTTGTTATAGTGAGAAAATTCTAACAATTTTTTGTTATGATTCCAAGCACATTATGATTGTCAGATATGTTGCATATTATTTTGTACAGCCCATCCTATACAAAAATTATGGATCCATCTTCCCTTTAAATTTCTGCTTTGTTATAGTGCATTTTTTACCAAGTTCTCAGATAGAATGTACTTCGTATTTACTCAGACTTCTAAATTTGAAATTTCGAACACACAAATTAAAGAAGTTCACTCTTACTTAAAATTATTGCCATATCTAACTTGTACAATAATTTGGCTTTTTTTAGCAAGGATTTTTGAACAAGTCATACAAAATGAAATAAATTATTGTTGGCTAGCTTAAAGGGATATTATATACTCCGTAATTAGTATTCAATTCAACGGATTTATCAAAGTTTATATAATTACCATTCAACGGAATCATCAAATTTTGATATAATTAGTATTCAATTCAACGGATTCATCAAAGTTTATATAATTAGCATTCAACGGAGTTATCAAATTTTGCGTAATCATACGATTACGGAAATGCATTGACCAACATTTTTATCTTATTTTTTTGTTATTAAAGTCGGAGCTGTGTTTAATATGATTAAGATTCCTCTATAATTGCTACTGTACTATATCAAGGAAGATGTAGTTTAAAAAAAACAACTAATTAGTAGGCACCATTTCTTCCCTGTCAAGTTCCTTACAACTCACAACAGTCAGTAGTTCCCATCAACGGCGAAAACAAAATACGAAGAAGAAAAAGTAAAATGGAAAGAATAATGTATATACTTGTACGTACTTATGTACTCCGTAGTACGGAATACTTGGATTACAAATTGACCAGAACACCAAATTTGAAAAGGAAAAACAAACTAACATATAGATTTTATTATATATTGATGTGAAGAAAATAGAGATAGTTGTACTCTAATAAAGAAGTTTTTTTAAGCATCTCAGGTAATATAGGTTAAGATAATATGACGACTAATTTCAAGTAAAATATTAGTAAGATCCACACTCCCGCCTCTTAATCTAGACATTGCTACATCTACCCATTAGAGCCTCCAGCCAAGTAAAATAATTGACAGTGTACAGAATGTTTCAGTCTTCTATGCGGAAATTCTTTTAAGTGACACAATTGACAGTGACATTAGCCCTGCTATCTCAGATAGACTGACTGTTAAAATAATCAGATATTCTCCCACATTTAGATAGTAGATATTTTTACCTCAAAACAATAGCCTCTAATTTGTCTTGAATCCAATATGAAACTGCATTTCCTGAAGTTATCATTAATCCTTGATTCTTCCCATCATTCTGCCTAAAAAAAAGAGATAATAGGAGAACGCAGCATGAATGTTGAGATGTTGCTAGCATAAACCTTCCAAAAGACATTAATGCTAGCCTTTTTCTTCCATCTCTCTCATGTTTTGATAGATATCAAATGTCCCCTAAGTCCAAAACATAGCCTCATAAGTCATAACACAACAAAAACAATGCAAGCCAACAAAAGGCTGAAGATTACTCACCCTGTATATTTAACAGGGCTTTCACACCAGACTAGGGGAGAATGCTTTACAGTAGAATCTCGAATTCTGAATGCTCTTATCTGACCATTGGCCTATCAAAAGTTATATGGCTTAAACACGAAATTCCGGGCAATGAATATGGATAGTGATACTGCAAAATGCTCACTTTTCATTTACTGAGTTTTTCTTTTTAAAATAAAATTCTCAAACTAGATACATGGTAGGACAACAACCAGCTAAACTACAACTCTAGAAAAGAATTGATCCCCTCAATACAAGAAAAGAGGGATAAAAAATTTGTACACACAACCACCTAAATCCAAGTGCTTTCAAAAGATTTAGGACGAGCACAATATATTTTGAGATCCCCCAGCACTTGATATGCACTCAAACTGCTTCTAACATTCTCCAGTTAGGAACAACATGAAAATATACAAAAGAAAAAGAAAATACAACTCTACACAACCTATTCTTAAATACAGCAACACCAGCTCCAAAAATATAGTACAACCTCCCCCCCCCCCCCTCCTTTTCTGTCCTCCAAAAAACCAAAACTCTTTTCGTGAGACTTCTATCCTCTTGAGTCAGACAACAAGGAAAGTACCTCGGGATCATCGAAATTTGACTCCTTGGCAGTATCAAATGGGGTTCTATTTTCTCCATCCACAGCCTGCGGATCTGCACCCCTGATGTGATTCGACAAATTAGACATACATCAGTAAGAATACAATATATTATGAAATGTAAGTTCAAAAATTATCCCTTACGGACAGCATGATACTAACAAAAGCATACATTAAACAGATGTCCTCAAAGGAACAATAGAGACATACATGTACCAGATGTTTTCAAAGGAACAACAGAAACACACATTTAGGCAATGCAAATAAACCTCTCTGCTTCTGAGCTTAAAGAAGCAGAAGTGCTTTAATAAGTACACAAAGCAAAGGAACTACAACCAAATTGTGAACTTAAATAAGGAAAGAGATTCTACAGAATCAAGATACTATTTTCACAAAGGAACTTAAATAAGGAGATTCCTTATTGTGAACTTAAATAAGGAAACAGATTCTATAGGCAAGCTCCAGACTAAAAAAATAAAGAAGAGGGAGAGGGGGGGGGGGGGGGGGTGGGGTCACCATCATCTCCCCTCTATTGCAAGCTCCACCAACTCACTAAAAAACAACATTATCAACCTCTCTCTCTCCCTCTTTGCAACTCCTCCTTCTGCCATTTAACCAAACCACACCCAGAAAATATACCCACCTACTCCCCTTAGCCACCGATGCAACCCCCACCTTCCTCCCTCTTTGCAATTGCTCCTTTCTCTCTGCACCTCTCCTTCCTCCTCCTTTTCCCACTCTTCATACCCTCTTCCACCTTCCTCCTCCATCCTCTAGGAGTTAACCCAACCTCTGCCCACCTACACCCAGGCGATCCAGCAAAGTCACCACACCCCCTTTAGCTGCTGGTGCAACCTCTTCCTTCCTCTCTCTCCACACCTTTTTGATACTTCCACTAGTTACTTAACCTAACCCCTATCGCCTCTCCTGCTTTCAATCTCTTTCCCCAATCTCAATCTTGCATCTTTTTCTCTCCTCATCCCCATTTCACATCCAGCAGCATTGTGCTGCCATTGGAACTTTCCGGCACCACATCTAACAAAAAAGAGGGTTTTGATTTAATTTTTAGTTCAAATGCAACTCTCTACTGTCAGTCCCTAATGCTTCAATAGAAAAGGTACAATTTACTCACTCAACAGACCTAAGGGGCAATGTGTATAGCTTCCAAACACACTAGGTACAACTTGGAAAACTGAATAATACAAGCCCACTATATAGAAAAACCCAAAATAAAAAATAACCAAATAAATAGCCAAAGCTGAAAAACCACGATTGAAATGATTTTTCTAACTGAACACACAGGACAGCATAACAGCTAATGCAGAAAGAAATTCAAAGATCACCTTGTGAGAAGCAATCTTGCGGCTACTGCCTTCCTTTTCAGAACACATCGATGAAGTGGTGTCTGACCTCTAGAGTCAGATGCATTTACATTTGCGCCATACTGCAGAAGGAGCTCCAACATGCCTATGTCAGCATATTCGCAAGCAAGGTGGAGCAAGGAGCATCCATCTAGATCCTCCATACTCAGTACCTCATTTTCAGCAGATACATTAGATGAGCTCTCAGAGGATTTGCATGACAAGTCCCCAGCCCACTGACTAATGTTGGGTCCATGGCTTGTCGGCTCTGGCAACCGCATTACCTTTGCAAGGGTTAAAGAAGAGCTTGCGGATGTCAAATCATACACCGCATTAACGTCTGCTTCAAAGTTCACAATATATCTATATACCGCTTTTTTGTCATTATTACGCACACCTTCCCAGATTTGTTGTGCCAATAGTCGAAGATGTTGTGTGTCCTTTGGCTTCCGAACAAAAAGCTTATCAGCATACTGTTTGATTGGCAAGACAGAATAATTACTTTTTCAGTTGAGTTCACAAGTGACAAATCTACACTACATAGTGCATGCTCTTTTAGTCTTTTTGATCACATGATATGTCTCCAAATCCAAAATAGAATAAAAAAAATATTAATGAAGATAAGGGAAGGTTAAGTGACCTTTGCATGAATGAACTTTTCCTTTATTGCTATTGAATCAGCAGCACTAGGTTTGCTGATGAAAAGCTGCTGTGACTTATCAGCCTTCAATGAACTTCAGAACAAAGTGAATTTAATTAGCAGAGCTATACCAGTATATGAAACATAATTTAGCAGAAAACAGAGAGATCTTTACCTTGCAGATGAAAGATCAACATGGAAAGCACCCTTTGACCGCAAAAGTTCTTCCCATACAGAATTAGCAAAGGAATTTCCCAGAGACTGAAATAATGATATGACTGAGGGCTCCCACACTTTAACATCGAGTGTAAGTGATCTCACCTATAAAAATCATAGCCGTGGAAACAGATGAAGAAAACCAGGAAGCAAAAAATATGTACAAGTTGGTTGCATCATCATGTGCAGTCATTGTTCCAGAAAAACTACAATTCCTTTCATAAAAAATTTACAAACAAACAACTACCATCTACCTAACCCCTTCCTTTTATTAAATAAAAGAACAATGGGAATAGAAATGAGGTTATTCATTAGGAATCAACCAAGATAACGGCAATAATATCAACGCCTTATCGAGTTTCAGATTAGTTCATGCATCTAAGCTGTATTATGCATACACAAGAGCAATTACATTTATCAGTTCTCATTTCCATCATGACCATCAAAAACACAACCCCAGGAAACATAGTCCAGTATGAAGTAATTATAGAGCTCATACCAGATAACTTTAAGGTATGTAAGAAATATTTGACCAAATATAAGCTAAAGTAGCCAGCTAGATTACTTTGTACACCTAACAATCAAAATAGGGTTATGGACCTTACTCCGTATGTCAATACATGTTCATACAATTCTGTCATCGGACAAGCCAACGACAAAACAATAACTGAAGCTAATATTTCATAAATATAGCTGACACTCAGAATTAAACCATCCTGCTAAAATTAAGATGAACTGAAAAAACATGCAAATTTAACTCCAAGGCCTTGCCAATGACAGGAACCATAAAGTTCTAGATTAAAATTATCAAATTCGCTCATCCCCTTGCAAACCAAAAAGAGGCAAACTAACACAGGAAAGTGATACATTTGGCCTAGGTACTGAATTGAGTTCCTGTTATCCAATCTTGTACAAGCAAATTAACAATGCTCAAGACGCAAAGTCTTATCTCCAACCAATAACAACTAGTTAAGAGGTGGTTTTCTAATAACTAACAAGGTAGAAAAAGAAAAAAAAAAAAAAAAGAAAAAAAAAAAACGGAAAAGGGTGGGTCCCACTGTCCTAGTCCAGTTTATGCAGCTATTAACAACCATTGGAATCAGAATTTCTTTCAAAGTAATAGGTGACAATCAAGAAAAAATGGGAACAAAGTGCATATGTTTAAAGTAAATCAATACAAATCAGTAAGTATAAAATAAAATTTCACCTTTGATATGTGGACACCAAGGTTCCGATGAACACCTGAACATTCAATGCAGACAAGTAATCCCAGATTTAAGGAAGCCCAATCAGGTTCCGGGGCACCACAATCGGCACACTTGTCATTCCCACCAACCTTCCTCAGCAGTTCAATTGGCCTTTCAGACTTCATGAATGATCGTTGTTGCAGTGAACTTCTCAATGGGCGGTCATGATGCACAGATGTGAGGCACCTCTCAGATGTGTTCTCTTCATTTGCAGCATGATCAAAATCAGAACTTTCGATGGAGCTACTCTCACTAGCAGATCGATGAAGACTTCCCATATGATTAGCAGACATGCACTGAAACATGAAAGACTCTGAACAATTAGTAAGCAGACACTGATGAAGAAACAAGCTGGCTCGAACATCCCAACTCAGGCTTACCCTTTCAGGGGTTTGAGAACTTAGCAATGAAGCAATGACTCCTGTTATTTTCTCAATCCAATCCATTTGATCCGATGCACTTTCTGCCTGTATTTGGAAGCATTTGATGGGAATTAGCATTATAAAACTGTTCTCACTAGCAATGATCTTAAATTGACCACAAAATCTTATCATATTTTGGACTGAAACATCTGTGAACCTGTAAGGTGTAGTTCTTTGTTGGTGAGATAATCCTAAAGCAAAACCGTAGATCTGACTGATCAGCATCAACTTTAATTGTTGCAGTTAGCAGATTGACCGTATGATGAGCAACAGATTTTTCATCGTGCACTCCACCATGATAATGTGAAGAAAGCCAACGACTTAGCAATCCAGACCCAAGTTCAGAGCTATTCCTCTGACCAGAACTACGAGGCCCAGAACTCTATTAACAAATTTCATAAAACCAGTCAGTAAAAAGGTGCGATGAAAGAAAACTATGTTCTGCCTGCTATAATAGACCACCCAGCTTACTTACAGATGGTTTGCTGCACTCTTTCCTGTAGTAGTAAAGCATTCCTCGACTATCAAGGACAAAAAATCTTCTCTTCCAGTCACCTCTCAAGTTAGATGAACGTTTTGAGAGATAACCCTGTCTTATGGTCTGAACCTGAAATGAGCAAATATTTCAATAAAGCAAAGAAAAACAATGTCAGACAAATTGTTGAACAAAGTCCATTAAAAATTTAAAAGTTTCTATTTTACCTTTCCCTTTGCGGCAGATTGCATAACTGCGTCTATTGTTTTATGTGAACTTCTACCAATAGCTTGTATACCATCACCGTTTGGAGAGCCATTAGATCCGTTAGAGCACCACCTACTCTCTCGATCAATTTGTCTTTTGTACTCTTGCATCCTTTCATTAAGAGCTGCCTGCTCATAATTGGACCTTTCTCTTGATTGCTGAGCATATGTCAAGACCTATAACAATAAAGGCTTACAAATTAAATAAAGATATGGATAGCACACAATATCAACCATAAGATACCAACCAAGAGTGCTAATATAATTTCTGACACTACACAAGCCTTCACATCATTTAGATATCAGAATCACTATGTCACTGTTCAGGGATACAGTGAATCAATGAAATGGAAGACATATATAGACTTAGGGCCTGTTCATATTTACTGAACTGAACTAATTAAAGCTGAACTGAACTAATTAAAGCTGAACTGAATTGAACTTATTGGAGCTGGACTGGACTGAACTGAACTAAGCTTAAATGAATATTTTATGAGAGAGGGAAATTAGGAATTGAACTGAACTAAACTGGTTGAAGCTTAACTGAACTGATTGGAGCTGAACTGAACTGAAATTAAGTAAATGTGAACAGGCCCTTAACAACAGCATGTTGATGAGTTGCGTTTGTCATTGAAGTTTTATTTATACATTTATACCAATATAGGACAAAATCCCTACGTATGCTCACTCCATACTGATACAACATTAAATGATGACAAACTAATGGGGAAAGGGCGAGGTGACCACTAAAGCAAACCATTTGGGTTTCACTGTTGTGAGGCTATTAGTGCAAAGTAGAAGATGACAAACAGAAAGAAAGCAGGGGGGAGAATCAATATACTTACAAATAATTTCATAGAGGTATATAAAAACAAACCTGATTAATATACGGCTCCATCTGATGCAACAGTTCATAACCCTATAAGAGACAGAGTTCACAGTGAGAGAAATGAGCAATTCATAACCTCCTATATATTCTCCCACCACCCTGCCTGTCTATCTTTCCATGTAGATTAACATAAATCTCATCTTCCTAATAAATCTGTTGCCTTTTTTTTTTTTTTTTGAAATCTAATAAATCTGTCACCTACTAACTGCATTATCTCTTATTTATAATATCTAGAGCATTTTAATCTTTAAATCACACTCCATTACTTCTAAAGAGGATCCCACCCTTAATTTGTAGCCAGTAAGAATAAAATTACCTATTATTAGTTAGTTCACTATAACCCATAACCCAGAGAGAAGTGAAACTTTTATTACATTGGAAATCAACAGATTTCTAACCAAAAATACCAATTCTTCTTATCCCTTTCATCAAATATTTCAAAAAGTGATCAAAGAAAATTTTCTAAAAGGTATATAGCAAGAAGAATTAAACACTCATTCATAAATCTAAAAAGAAAAGAGATTATATTAAGCACCTGCTTGAAGTAACGCAGATGTGCATCCATGGTCCCACTAACTGCTTCAAGGAACTCAAATCTCTTTTTTGCTTCAATGTTGGAAAGAGTAGTCACCTGGGTCCAACAAAATTTAAATTACACAAACATAAAGTCATATGAAAAACATAACAGACGGTGATGATCATTAAATCATGGACACAAAAGAACTACAGAAGATCAGATACCAGATTAAAGCGAGCTTGCTCAAATGTAGATCTTGCCTGATGCAGCTCCTATTTTCAGGCAACATCAAAACTAAAGTGTAAGATGATGATGATAACAAAACGACCATATTGCAAAGATCTGGAATATTCAATTAAAAATAAATAAAATCCATACCTCCTCCAAGGTTGTAGCAACATCACCTTTTGTTCCTTTTCTAAGTGACAAGAACTTTTCACGAGCCTGTGTCAATCATATACTTGTCAAGACTACTATTGTAGAAGTTAACTGAAAGCAATATAGAAAAGCAGTTTCTTTCTGCTTCAACTAGAACCATTAATAAATGAAGATTAAAAGGGGTACTTATTCATAAGACAATGAGTTTTTTTTTATTTTATATATTACGGTGATTGACTACACGGAATAATCATATCTAGTTAATGTTAGCCGACCCCTTTATGGGATTAAGGCTTTAATTGATTGATTGATTGATTGATTGAAATTACGGTGATTAACTCTTAATGTTATCCTAAAATGTTACATCTCATAATGCAAAATTTCATACTCCATCAGGATGATATAGAATATTCCAAAAGTCTATTGTGTGAACTAATTATTAGCTAAGTCAAAATGGCTTGTCTGAAGCAAAGACCAGTCCACCACCTATATGACTTGTGCCCTAATCGAAACTACCAATTCAATGAACTCTCCATCATAATAATCACAACCCACTATATTTCCCTGTCCAACACATATTGAAAATCTAATGCTCATAGGCCTTGTCTAATTATGCGACTCATGTTCCACAATTTAGATCACTCAAATCTAATTACTATCATCATTCCAATGTCATAAAAGGCTTTTTTTCATAAATAACTGCATGTTCCTCTTTTCAATTAGATTGAGAAGAGCCTCGTTGGTGAAAATTTTCACTATTCTTATTATGTCTTTAAATATATAGTTTATAGAAGATAAATTGATTACCACACTTGTTCGGAGGAAAAAAATATAAAACAAATTTCTGGGCCTAGAGCCTGGCTGATCTCACAGCAAATATACTTGAATATACTAAAATAAGTACTTCCTCCGCTTCTTTTTAGTTGACACGTTTCTTTAGTCACGTTTGCCAATGCAAAAATTCAATTATTAATTTCTTTAATTGTCGATAAGCAAAAATTATAAAAAGTTGATATTTTGAAAATATATATTGTGACGAATCTAACAAGATCTCACATGACTATATTTTTCATTACTTATAAGGCACAAAACACGGTCAAAGGAGAGTGTGAATAGTGCAAAGGTCAAAATGGGTCAACTCATAAAAAAGGGAAGTAGTATAAAGCAATGCAGCTTTTATTTGAAGTTCAGAACACAAACCTGATCATACACAAGACTTGCCTTGTCAAAACGTTTACGCGCTTCCTGCAATAATTAAAAGTTTTTAGAATAGTATGAAGAAGCTGAACCTAAGTACTCAACTGTGCCTTAAGAAATTGCCTAGATGTCTGAACTTACCAATCACATTCCACTGAGCTGAGTAACAGAACCATGATCATGATTCATAATCTCAAATTGGTAACTAAATTGAGATTCTCCTACAGCATAAACCTGAATCTAATTCTACTCCTCATCTCAAAAACTGATTTTCCATATGTTACAGATGTATGATAGATATGGGGGTGGGGGAGGGGGGGGGGGGATGCATCGACACAATTATGAACAAGCGCCTATAAGTTTTGAGAATTAAGCCTCTGACTTCCCTTTGCTAGTGCCCCAAATAAACAATGACCAGATGTTCCTAAGAACGATGAACAATTGGGAAACAGAAGTCAGTGGCTGTTGACTGTGTTGAAGAAATTTTATCTATTAGTTTAGAAGAAAGCACCAAACATAGGTCTTATAGAAATGATATATAGACAAGTAGACTTGAAAAAAGCTTCTCCAGGAGAATTTGGCACTGGAAACATCTATGGTCCCCATGATCATCAATGTAGAATCTGTGTACAGTAAGAAACCCAAAGAAGAGCGGGTTTTCCAATGATTTACCAATTTATTACTATGTCCAGAACGGATTTTTGCAGCTTGACTATGGCTTTTACAACGACATCAATACTGGGTTTACTGTCATACATGGTGCTGCTAACCAGTAAAAACTTCAAGAAGAATCTACTCCGATTTCCGCCCTAAAAACTCCGTTGATTGAGCCTTAGAATGAATTCCTGATAACCTTTAATGTTGGATCATCCAGAGTAGCCCAATCTATCCTATACAAGGTTAAACTCTTGTAAGAAGCCTAGGAGACTTGCTCATATCTTTCCAGAATTGTGAACAAGGTCATTAATGTAAACATCACCTAAAGTAACAAATTTTGATCTTCTTTGGAGAAATTATGGGATACCTGTGTAGACCAATCAACCAGATCAGCCAAGTTAATTTCTTGTTGGGTTCAAGTAGTATTGGATCATGTAACATCTATGATACTTGAACAAGACTAATCCCAAAAAAAAATTTACTCTTTGTTATCCAAATATCCAGTATAAGGAAGGGATCTTTTAACCATGACTTATGTGGAAACCAGAGCCTAGTTTCTCCCTGAAATCTTCTATGGCTTAATTCATTGTGTTGGGAACAAAAGAAAATTCCACCCCATTTCAATCCAAATCCTACAAGAACCGCATAGGTGTGAATAATATAACCTTTTGGAAGGGCTTTAATAATCTATATGGCTATTCTTGATCCAAAACTTCTATAGTTCAAAGGGAACTTCTATGGTGGCGTTTAGAGACTTGGAATCTTCATTTTGTCCAAGATTTTCCAACACGGTTGTTAAAAGTCTCCCAGCCAACACTTTGATCTTCACTAAAGACAGCACGACTTGATCACATGGTCGTTGGTTAAACCAATGAGATTCCCGCTAACCTCCAACAAGATTTGAACTTCAACTAAGGGTTTTAAAATGTGACTCATAACATCCATTCCGGGCTTCTAATCAGCCAAGCTCTCAACAATATTTCCAAAGTTTCCTAGGAGTACAAAAGGCCAGTTCCAACACGAGTTGTACAAGTTATGAAGGCATAACAGACTTTATTTGGTGTCAATACGAGCCACTACCATTATGCCACAGGTTTAATAGCCAATCTTCATCAAGATATTCCACCAATCCCCTAAAACAGTCACAAGAAGAATGAGCTATATAACCTACATTAAAAGGCCTCTCAAAGGCAATGTCGAATCAGCCACGGGGCCCACTGCCAAAACTTTAGATGATAAATAGCCACCAGGGATACTCCCCTTGACATGCTTTGTTTATTTCTGAAAAATGGACTCCCAACAAAAAAATCACATCTTTTACAAGTTACTAGTAAATCAATTTTTGAATCAGGTGGTCTACAGTCCTGATATCCATTGAGGACTCTAATTCCGGGCTTAAGGGTCTCGAGAACAGAAGTAGTAGCATTAATAACAGCGTTCATTAAGGTGACTTAGAAAAAATTAAATATATGTGAAACCAATCGCAAAACTCTAATTGTATAGTAATTATATGGCAAGACATGTAAATTTAACCACAATAAGTTTAAACATTAATCATTGATACCATACTTTCATTCGAATATCAAGTCCATATTAGCACTGGCATATACAGCTAATAATCTGCTTAATATTTTAAAAGGGCGGCATCATACCTTTACGTCATGCAAATCAATATTGACAAATTGTAACAGCCGGTCATTAAGCATGTGCTCAGCCTGGAAAAAAAGGATCAAACGGATTAACAAAACAGGACAACACTAAACAGCATGAATGTAAGGGTGTCACTTGCCCACTTTACAAAGGCTTTCTAACTGTGAAGTGAGTAAAGTTGAGAAAGCAAGATCCGTGTTCCACATCAACATAAGCATTACGGTTTGAACTCTTGGATCATTGAAATTTAAAAATAGTAATAAAAAGTAGAGCTCCTAACCTCCACTTTGAAGTACCAAGGCCTTATTCTCTACTCTATATTTGTATGCGCATGTGTGTGTGCGCACAGGTGTGTGCAGGTGCACGCATGCTGGTGTGTGTGTAATTGAATATTGTATATAATTCAGTTTCAATCAGTCATAAATCTATATTAATCAGTAAAAATCAGTACCTTCCTATAACAAAAACAATAGTGAATCAATTTTAATCAGATTCGATATGAATTTAAACATTATTGTTTAGACAAATACATACAAAATGAGAATGTATAAGATGAGGAGAATAGTACACAACTCATACTCCCTCCATTCCAATTTAATTGATCAAACTTTGCATAGAGTTTTACACTATGTTTGGATAACAATAGTGAAGGGATAGAGAGGGAAGGAAAAAGTGGGAAGGGAAAGAGAGGTGAGAGGTGAGAGGAGAGAGAAGGTGAACTTCCATTTTCCTTCCAAATCTCTCCAACAATGGAGGGATTTGGTTTATTAAAAGGGGAAGGAAAATGGATCCTTCCGATTCCTTTCCTTTCCCTCCATGCATTAGATATCCAAAGAAAGGATGATGCATCCCTCCTTTTCTCTTCTCTTCCTTTCCCTCCATTTCTCTCTATCCAAACAAAGTGCTATGCAATGAAATTATCGGACAAATGACACCATGGAATTGCTTGGTGACTTGCAACATTTACCTGAGAACGAAGTACTTCCTTGTAAGTCCCAATCTCTCTTAATGCAATTGTAAATTTTGTCATAACAGGACCTGAATACAATTGTTGTTCCCAGTCAATAATCTATAAACTACAAATTGTTATTGCAACAAACACACGAGTAGGCATGATAAACACGGAAAGAAGGCAAGATTCCAACAAAATATTGGGGTTTTTTTCCTTTTTCAGATAGACAAACAGATGACTTTAATACAATTAAAGGACTGACATCAATGTATTAGTTAGACTTGCACACAGATTCTATAAAAAAGAATGCACCAATGGGGATGTGAAAGGACACAATAATTTGAATAACAATATAGCTGCAATAGAATAAATTTTGCCATACCACCAAAAGCTACACTTATTGGATCATTGTGCCCTCCTCCAAATGTTTCTAAAGCACTGGCAAAAGCAATGTCACCATCATAAGCCTCACCAAGTCCTTCACTGCAAAAGTTGGATAATAAACATATTATATTTGAGTAACCTAGTAATTACAAAGAAACAAGAGCAAATTAAAAGGTTCTGCATCAGCATTGTGGTTCTATTGGGTTTCTTAAAATAATAACTCAAAATATAATTTTCAGCAACCAATCTTAGTTTTAAAAGGCGCAAGACGCACCAAGGTGCAAAAGTTCTTGGAGCCTAGGCACAACCGCACAAGGCAAAGGCGTGCGCCTTTAGCAGGTGAGGCACAGTTTAGTTGCTATTAAATAAGTTCAAATAAGGATTTATGAGAAAAGGTGAATGGGCCATGTGATCGATTGCAAGGGTTCTTTAATTGGATTTGGGGGGTATGGGGTTTCTCTCTCCACTAACATTATAGTAAATCTAATCGTTACAAAATCACATGGAGTCTTAGAAAAAGATAATCATACACATCAGTTATTAGCACTATACAGCATAAGGTGCAACATGAGACGCAAAGGCGCAAAAAGCAGCCAAGAAATAAAACGCATGGGTGCACGCCTTTAGTTTGCGCGTGGCAAAGCTAAGACGCCAGCTCTCGTGCCTGACTGTGCTTCGTGCCTAGGCTCACCTAAGGCACCTTTTTAAAATTAATCAACCAATCATTAGTCAAAGAAGCAGTGAGACATCCTAAACATTTGTAATATAGAAGATAGAATGTAACATCTTCATATTTGGATTCAGTAGTATGAATACAAATAACAGAAACCCATAGTACAGAGGTACATAGCATTGACAATAGACTAGTAAATTATAACATATCGATGGAATTAAAATTATGAAGTACATATTCAAAAGTTCTTATCTACATAAATGCAAACTATAACAAGGCATAAACATCGCTTAATAGGGAGAAGAGGGAATAAAGTTACTATCCCAATACCCTCTTCTCAAAGATGAGGCAAAGTACTTTTTGTATTTTGATTCCTCAATGCACAATGAGATGTCAATTACCATGTAGGATTGGTTAACAAAGATATATAATAATTTAAAAAGTGACAACTTTAGTTCAGAGATAATCACAAAGATAAGTCCATTTCTTAATAGTTGCATCATTTTGACTAGACACATTTGTAAATGCACTACTTTGACCATTAATATCCTTAATTATAATTTATAGAAAACATCACATTACGAAAATAAATAATTAAGATTTACTCAACAACCATTAAAACAATGGTATTTATTTTTAAATATTAAAATATGGGTCAAAGTTAGCATAAGAATAGTGTACAAAGTCAAAAGAAGCAACTATTGGGAAACGGAGGTAGTATAACTAATGTTATTACCAACAATACAATAAAGCAGGGCGAAAAAATACTACATACTACATAACACATGCAAGATGCTCAGCAAAGAGTTGATGAAGATAAGGTCAGGGGAAAAACTCCATGTTTCATCAAAATAGAGCAATTTCAATTGCTGTAATATATAGACCAGACATACGTGTATTTTCGACATCCTTTGTAGAATTTTTGGCATCTTTCCCTTAATGATTCAGCACTCTCCTCCAAGCTCTGCAGCTGCATCACCAACAGAAGAACGCACAGGAGTCACAATGTTACTCAGACTTTATTACTCGTTGTGGACACAGGTAAATATCCAGGTGTCCCAACTCGGCTGTTAACTCAAAAGGTGACATGATTTAAGATCAAAATAAAGTGTTGAAATATCGACACCCAAGTCACAATACCAAGGATCCAACATGGGTACTTGAGGCAAAATGTAGAGTTTGAGTACTATATGCAATCATATGCAAAGGAACAGCAACTCTTCAACTTGCTATCATATGCTAGTACATAGGTAAATAGGAATGATATAGAGAGAACTAATTACATACCTCAAGTACAATACATCAAGGAAATGACAAGTATAAAGAGATAAAAGGTGTTTTGCATGCTAAAAAATAACTTTCAGAATGCAGCTTGTTAGAGAGTGTGTTTAATTAAATAACAATAACCACTTGATAAAAGTGAATACATAGTTTAGGGACTGAGATAAGCAACTATCTGAAAATAAGGCAGCATCACAGGATGAATTGGCTACATCAAACCAGCAGTGTGTCTTGAAAGTCATGGATAGAGGTATTAAGTCTATGTAATCTTAGTGCAAGTAAATTAAATAATTAAGATAAGAAAATATATTATTGAGGATAAAGGGCAAGGCATACACCTAAAAGCTACTCCCTTTTTTTATACTTTTTTAAACTTCCTAATTTGGTGCATTAGGATTAAAAGAAATAGCTTGACTCTCTCTCCAATGAGATTATTAGAGTCCAAATGAAATCCATAACTACTCCAATCCCCTACCTGGTGAAAAGCAAGTTGTAAAATATATAAACAAATAAATTAGAAGAAAAAAAGTATGGAAAATTGACAAGAAAATCCCAACTTTGGTTTGTCTTCCCAAAACAATCTAAAGTCAATTATTCCTAACGAACTTAAGTTAAGGTGAGATGTTTTGAAATTGGTCTTAAGTCTAAGGTGACTGGATTAGCAGGTAAAAGGGCCACCATGTCACATTCTAATTGGCCATTAAAAAGAAAAAAAAAAAAATTACCCCTTCCCCTCGCCTTTCTCCAGCCAACTGCAGTCTTCCTCCTCTCCCCCTTCTCCAGCACCAACCTATTGGCCCTCTCCTCAAACATTCTACCCACCTCCAGAAAACTGCAACCTATCAACTATTGTTAATTTTCAGCTGGCAAGAGTTTACAACACCTTATTTTTTTGTTTTTCCTAGATACCACATACAGACATCATTCTCCAACAGGCAAGCATCATGAAGCACTAGAATGCAAGAAGCATGTTCGTTTGTCTTCCACTCCTCTGCTGGCAAAGTAAAAAGATAGCGGCCCTCATAGACTGTTAGTGATGATTATACTTCATTGAGGATGGGTTTTCCTATGATTATTAGAATCCTTGAACATGGTCTTTTCACAATGGACTCAAATGGTATTGATTGAAACTACTACCATATGATGTTCTGCATCATTTCAGCATAATGAGATAAATTAAAACCTCATCCTCAGCCATCATGTCAACATACATATTTGAATTCACTTGATCATCAAATAGTCAGTTTAATAGCTCATTCCTATTAGAGAATAAAATATTTAAGCTTCCGTTTAAAATAAGGAATAATAAACCTAAAAACAGACACCAGAGGCTGAAATAGGTGACCCGACCAAGGATACATAATAATTATAAGATATCAAACTAACCTTGTTAAGAAAAGACAGTAATTACCCTCCAACCAAAGCACCTAAACAATAGTGATAAACCCACATCTTCTAACCTAAACAGTAGTGATAAACCCACATCCACTAAAACTCCTTTCTGCTCCCAAAAACAAACTAGCAAAACTGCATATGGCCCAACAAAGAAACAGGGCAAGTCTGGAGCTTCCCTTTCAAACCAAACCAAATAGTTGGCACCATATAGGCATATAGTAACATTACCTTCACAGTGAAGGATCAACAAGCCATATTCTACATTAAGCCATTAGCAGCGAAAACAACAGACTTTATATAAATATTATATAGTGCCAATCCTAAATCATAAGTGGCGAAATAGGAGCATGATGTGTCAGAGATAAGATAGAGAGATGGGATATGAATTATAGACTGGTTGCTTCCTACTAATTGCCTTTCCAATACTTGATCAAGGGAAGTAACAAAGAGAAAACCTTTGAGACATACTTCCACAAGCTTAGTTACGAAACCCAGGCGACACAGCCCAGCAATTTGAATTACTCCGTATAATCAAACTTACTATTGATCACCCTATGTCAGAGAGTAGTCCACTACCACTTCCCCAAAAATAAATCACTAAAGAGAATTCTTGGACACCACATTACTTACTCCAATGCTCATTAAAAATCCAACTCCAAGCAACAAGAGTGATCCCTCCACTCCCAAACAACCCCCAACCATAAAATGTCCTCATATGCTACTATAACTTCTTATTAACCTGAGCCAACAACGTAAACAGAAAAGATAATAACAAAAAAAAATAGACAAACAAAAATTTAATAAGATTTATCCTATGCCAAAATGAGATTAGAGCCCTCTTCCAACAATTAACTTTTACAGACCTCAATCACTTAATACCAAAAAGAAAGCCTCTTAAGGATCACCCCTAACAGAACACCCCCAAGATATTAGATATTAGATATTAGATATTAGATAGGATAACCTTAAATCAGCGGGAAGCAAGATTGCCAAAGATACGTGAACCACTAAACCCAAGTTGAGTCCAAAATAGTAGACTACTATATCTTAAGCCATAAATAAACTAAAACACCAAAAGAGTGAACACCTTAAACATATCAATCCTCTGAATACAGTATCACTCGAAAATTGAAAATACCCCTTCCCTCCCTGATAGAATGAAAAGTTATAACTATAATGGATTTAAGTGTATTTTGCAAGGAGAGCATCATTCTAATGTCCATGGTGTGCAATCAAATCCTCGACCTTATGCCTTTTTTTTTCTTTATCAATTTTCTTTACTACCCCCTTAAGTAGCAATGGATGCCAATGAAAATTTATACAGAAAATATAGTTAGTTTGGGAGCATTACCATGATCATTACTAAAAAATTTATTCCTGTTACCTCTATTCATTACCTTTTACCTCATACAAAACGAGCTGTTAATGTTTTTATCACAACAGTATGCCACGATAACAAACATGATGGAGTGTGCTCTACCAAGAAAATGTGATAGCATAAATTATGTTGGGAATACCAGAATTACAACAAGGACAGCACCAAGTAATGAATAGAACCAGGAATCAAAGATATTTCCTTTCTGAAATAATTATTATGTCGAGAATTACAGATCATTCTCTCACATATATACTTCCTTAAACCCGTGAACATTACATTAAAAGCAACAAACAAACAAACAAGAACAAACAATCGGGATTTCCGAAACAAGGACAAACTAACAAATTAATCCCAATACATAGGAGAGAGAAACAAACCTGCTGACGGAACATAGGAGAATCATCAAGCTTTCCGAAATGCATGTTTAAAGGGCAGCAATAAAATGATCCAATTCACCCAAATTGAAACTCAATCAACCCCACTCCACATCAAAACCCAGAAAATCGAGCAAGATCCCAGAACAAAAAACCCCAAATCCCTAAGAATCAAAGTAAACCCTTAAAGACCCATGTAATGAAAGAAGCTTAAAAATGTAAAATTTCCAGAAAATTATCATGGAACCCTAAACCCAGTAGGACCCAGAAAACCCTAGAAACAGCGGAGCGAATGTATGTCTGGATTAACAAACAACAGATGCAGCAACTGCAGTTTTGAGTGACAGTGAAAACATGTACCAGTCTACTACAGTACTACAAAATAAAAAAAAATTAAAAAAAAAAAAAGAAATAGAAATATTTGTTTGTTGAGCTTAAAAGCAATAAATGCAAGTGCTTGGAAATGATTATGCTTTTAATTAAATATAGAGAGAAGGTGAGTAAGTGAGTGAGTGAGTGAGTTGATGGCATTTAAAGTTTAAAACCTGTAAAATTGGGGGAAAGAACAAGAAATAAAGAAAGGGTATGTGAAAGAGAGGACTAATAACAAATAAAAAGAGAAAGCCAAAGCCAAGAGAGAAGTCTTAAAAAGAAAAAGAGGGAGACAGATTGAAAGAGACATTTACAAATTTTGTTTTATTTTATTTTAACATCCCATCCCATACCCCTCTCCTACTTTTCCTCCTTTTTCTCCCTTTTTTCAGTCTAAATTTCTTCTTTTTCCTTCAATTATATCATACTCCCCGTGTACTTACTAGCGCGATTACATTAGTGAATAAGAATTGGAATTCTCTATCATTTTACAAATACTTGAATATATACTTATTATAAAATGCACGAGATATGGTGGTAAGAGAAAATACAAGTTTATCTTCATGATAAACAGAAATACGTTTATCTAGTGGCATTTTTGTAAATAAATCAAAAACTTTTGTCAAATGTGGACCCTAATAATGTTGATTTATTTACATAAACGACATGATGACTGGGATTTTATATTAATTTATTTACGGAATTGTCACTAGATAAACGTTTTTTGTTCATCATAAAGATGAACTGGGGCTCCCTCTGGTGGTAATGATTTCTTTATAAGTAATTTGTGATGAACATTTCATGTCATTATCCTTGTAATGTTAAACCTTCTCCGAATACTTCATTTTCTTCAAAAGTTTTCATTAACATCTGCTAGGGAATCAAAATTTCCTACATTAGCTATCAAGTTATCTACTCGGTTGCTTTCTCTTTGATTTCAAAGTAGTCGAAAGACTTCATGATGAATGACTTCAGTGGATAAACAATGAATTTTTGACTTCAATTGAGATAGTTTTACTCCTTTTTCAGAAGTTGTTTCGATTCTACAGTGAAATGTCGTATACAGTTACTAAGAGTGACTAAAATGTGTATGTATATGTAAAAATGGACAAATAATGTATATAATGTTATTAAAACTCCAAGGCAATGTTTGTCAACTCTCTCCATACATCATAATAACATGGCAAAAGACAAAGTGACATTGCATTGGGCTTGGCAATGGCTAGTGTCATCTATTGGGTGGAGTAAAAATCCCAACAATATAGGGACTTACATTTGTTGGGCCCTAAAACCTAAAATTTAGTTAAAGTATAAAATTTATTATACGAGCTTATATAGAAAACTAGCTTAAGTCGAGGGAGCTTAGGTTACACAATTTGATAAACGTTTTGTGTTTATCAAATGACAATTCAATAGATATTTTGCTTCGTTTCCCGCAAATGGCTTTAAAAAATACTTTTTTGCTCTACTGACAGGTGGCACTGAGGGACCCTATAACGCCAAGTTAACGATGGTGTTAACGTCTTGAAGATCGTCGTCAAGTTAGAAAGTTAATTGGGTTACTTATTTAGAAGAGAGAGTTAAATGGTAATTGCCCACTATAACACCCCAATAACTCTCTCTTTAAACCTGTGAGGACCCTGAACAATATTCAAGAGAATTACTGGCGTGCTGCCGCCACGTGTTCAAACGTTAAGGCTTTATCAGAAAATAGCAGCGGAAAAACTAATTCAGTTATAAATAAGTTTCAAAACCAATAACCAAAACCAAATTAAATCATACAACTTGGAACCATTAAGGCCCTTATTCAAAACCCCACAAAAGTAGTAAATAAATAAAACCAGCGTTTAAATAAATTCAAACTTATGAAAAGAAATAAACTGCGAATAATAACCAACTCTCTACTCAAAATCCCACAACCCTGATGCGAATGTTGCGTATGTAAGAACCTGTGGTAATCTGCTCCCCAATATTACAAGTGTAAAAATTGGATCGTCACAGGGTCATTGAAAGGCGAAGGCCATGACCAAAGAAAGACACACACAAAAGCACGCAATCAGCAAAGCTGAGTACATACAAGCTGCGAAATAAATTAAGAAATCCATAACATGCTACTAATAATCAATCATCATATGCATCATTAAATTATAGACTCAACACACGACTCAACTATTTATATTACTAAGACTCCATTAATTAATAATAGGTAAATCATTATTTTTATTCATTGGATTACGCAATAGACAAGGTTGTCTAACCCATGCTCCATTTGGAACATCAATAAAAGAAAAACCCCATGCCTCCTTTCGGAAACATTAATAAACATCAAACGACCACGGGCGCGACTCCGTGACCGTAGTTAGTATGAGATCTCACCTAACTCCTAGTTTTGAAAAATATTTGAAATAAGAGACTTATAGATCAGACGGCCTCGAGAAAAGTACACGACTAATACCCCATGTACCCCAACCCCTGATTGTCATTACTCCAGAACTGCACCAATCCAGAGTTTTATTGCTCATCCATCTTGCACTTTACGTGATTTACAGGTTTAGACTTGGTGATGACTCATATGCATAACAATACAAACATTCCAATAACAATTCAATCAAGCAAGGCAAGTTTCCAATTTCAATTCTTGATTTATTAGTGACAAACAACATTTATTATTTAATCCTTTACTACCTCGGTGTATAAACACCTTGAGTGCATAAGGCACCCCAAAACCTTAACCTCGTCTTAGAAGACTTAAATTCTTCCTTTACTCATCCTGCTTGCATAATCATGAATGAGTAATAAATTAATCATTACACCAATCATATACCTTTGCCTCTAAGCGCACCTTGCATAATTAGAGCACAAACAATACTTGCAATATAAAATAGTGCACGTCATACAAAATTCACAATGTATAACCAAACAATTTAACTCAGTCATCCCTATACATGATACTAAGTTCTCGATCCGTCGTCCTTAAACATGCACCTAAAAGAAAGGTTTCGTAACTTGTACGTACCTTGAGCAAACGAATTGGTATGCCACTTTACTAACTAGAAATCACCTTCAATAAACTCCTCTCCTAAGCCAAATAATAACATCTCAATCAATACTCAATCAATCAAATTTACAGCAATACTAACTTACTTTAAAACCTTCAAAATCCAAATCGAACAACACTTTAAAACCTTCCCTTTAGTTAAAATTAAAGGCTTATATATAGTTCTTTAAATTTTCTTTATAAAAACCTTAAAATACACTCTTATACATGAAATTACAGCAAGTTCAAAGTCTAATAAAAATCTGAAAATTATATAAAAACCCATAAAAATCTCCCTTTTTAATGGGTGATTAAACCCTCTTTATAAAACATCAAAAGTAGTACTTAAAAACAATTTTCAACACTTAAAACTTCAATAAAAACATATATTTATGCTTAATTAACTTTAAACATAATTAATTTTATTAATCAAACTCAAGGATAATATTTTAAGTATAAAAAAACTTCGTTAAAATAAAAAACTGCCCGAAAATCATATTTAGAGGCTGAATTTGGCCACGAGAGGGTGGTGCTCACTACCAAAGGTAGTGAGTCTTTCTTAAAACGTTGTTTCCACATGGAAATAAAACACTACTTTTTCATAAAAATCGGATGAGTTCAGAACCTGACCGGTATTTAAACGGGATTAATATTAACGAATGAAAATCTAAAAATTAAAACACGAATTTCCATGTCCAAAATAATCTGGAATTAAGTTAAACTAATCAGTAGTTATAATCACCAAAATTTCAAAACATCATTACTATAAAAGCCCTAAATCAATTGTTCATAAAAACCCTAAAATCATGATTTTCAATAAATTGAAACCCTAGGTTTATAATTCATAAAATATGAAATTTATAACATAAATATTATCTGAAATTTATAATCTTTATACCATTAAAATATAATTTGATACTAAAAATTTAATCTTTATACTAAAATCAAAACCCAAAACAATTAAATTAACATTAAGCAAAATAATGAAACAAAGGAGGATGAAAATAAGACTAACCTTTTTGTGTGGGAAATTTTTGGAGATTCATGGGGTATTTATAGGAGAAAATTATTGTAGGGTAAAAAGAAAGATTGGGCCTCATAAAAATATTGGGTCGATTAAGTAAACAAATGGGTTAGGCTTGTGTGATTGGACATAAATTGTAGAATAAAGGTGCATAAAATAATTTGTTCAAATAATTTTCGACCCAGATTAATAATTTGAAACTTTTGAAATTAAATTATGAAAAATAACAAATAAATATTATAAATAAAATAAATTTTCATTTATAAAATATTTTAAAATACGGGGGATTACACCCACCTTCAATGGTCAAGTGCTTCGACTTTAAATTCGTAATAGAGGAGAGTAAAACGTTCAGCTTTACAATATAATAGAAGAGAGAAAATTGAAGTAGGAGAGAAAAAAATGTTCAGAATTAAAGGAAGAGAGAAAAATTGTTCGTTAACTCCTTCACATGCCGTCAAATTAAACGTCTATATATACCACTTTGTTGCAAACGTTCATTGAAATGTCAGCATTGCCCTTAACTTTTCATATGAAAGTACATAACAAACCCTTATAAACATCGCTCGTTTCTCATTGTTATAAACTTGAATTTGCTCGCCTAAGTCTCAAGCACATTTTTTATTAATATTATAATGTACTATTATGTTAATTCAGCAATAATTTACCATAAACCAAATTAATTTTTTAAGTTAAGCACATTAAATTGATTTTAATACTTAAACCAAAGACATTACGGGTAACTATTGCAGTAGGCCAACTTTATGAAAAAATATAATGAAAGAAATATAAGAACTATAGGGTTCTATTTAACAATTAAAAAAAAAATAGGTTAATACCTATGCAATGTACACATATATACCTCCATCTTTATTTTGCTACATATTTTGACAGACACAATACTTTATTAATTAGTCAAGAATACATTTTTTTAAAATAATTGAAAATAAACATGATGGTGGGAAATTTTTACACCAAATTTTAACATATATATACTACTCTTTTTTTTTTATATATATATATATATATTTTTTTTTTTTATGCGAACGCATGCTATTTTGAAATAAGCCATTTTACTATTCTTAAAAGGCATATATGATAATAGCACGTGTCCGCATTAAAAAAATTATATACTCCGTAAGATAATAAAACTTTCTAAACTACACTAGTCCCTCCATTAGCCATCTAAGTATGATTTTTATCTATTTTGAAATATGCCATTTTAGTATGATAAAACTTTCTAAATTACACTAATCCTTCCATTTTTACAACATTTATACACTTGAATAACATGCGAAGTGTATGTATTGTAATACTCAGTATAAAGCTTTACATTGATTGGGTACCCCTATTATAAAGGTGAATCAAATCCTTTAGATCATCCATAATAATAGTGGGAATCAATTTGGGTTCTTGAAACAATCGTATTATTTAAAGACTATTTTAGTCAAATGGTGAGTCTCACCTTAACTTATTTTAATCATGATAGAATTGTGTTTGAACTAAATTCTTCAATGGTGAAACTCATTGTGGGACAAAAAATGTCACATTAAGAATTGAAGCAATTGCCTTTCACCAAAAATTGGTGATACGTGACAATAACACATATTGATATAATTTCACGCGATACGTATTAAATAGATGAATTCAAAGTTAAAACTCTCTTCTCAGTCTAGGATCTTCTACAATGGTGAGTTCCGCCATAAGAGGTACTCAATGATAACAAGGTGACACACACCAGCAGCAAATCAAGAAAAAGACGTATGTAGTCGATTGGAAGAGCCGCACAACTGCTCAAGCAGTCAAGCACCCATGCATGGCTTTGCAAGAAATGGATGAAAAACAAAGTTGTTCATAGGAAGAGATGCATACGTAAACTCTATATATTGTAAAGTATTTCAATTGAATTGTGCATAGGTTAAGAAATTAACGATAGTTGTATATGGAGGTACACGAACACAATGTTCATGGTCATGCACAAACATTCAACATATATTAACATGTCATATATAGCTATATGTGGATGTCAACTAGTTTAGCCGATAAATTAAAGTCTTAACACAAAAAATATTAAAAGAAAAAATTGTACGAAGGAAAAAAAGTATGTAATCACCGGCATATTATTTCATATTATGATGCATAACAGAGTACTTAAATGCTGTTGTGCACTGTATGTAGAAAGAACGAAGCTAAGGATAAAATATTAAATCAAACTAAAAGACGCAAATTAAATCATCAATCAAACTCTCTAGATATTCTGATAATCCTATCCATCATCGCCAACTAGAAGTGTATGTAGTAATGTAGAATGCATGGGAGCTGAGTGTAGTTCACTTATATACATTATGTCGCCATTTTCAAGGCAATCAGACAAGAAGAAATCGAGATCGAGGCGAGCAACTGAGCTACTACGACAGCTTATCTGCAATCCTTCCCAAAGAATCAGCTAGCTTGTTGAGAACAGCAACTAAGCTATTAGCATGATCTCTACGTTCTTCCCTGTCAAGTTTCAGATTAATGTTGTAAGCATCCAGTTGAGCACTTAGAATTCTTCCATTCTTCTCCAACACTTGACATAATTCATCCTGCTCACCATTGTTGTTATTATCATCTTTGTCCATAAACCGTTTTCGCTTTCTTCCCTCACGAGATGTTGATCCAATTTCAACATTTATCCTGTCTTGTTGCTTCTCATTATTTCTTCCTGCAGATCCTGTACCAATATATATTTTATTTTTTCGATTTTTGATTCAGGATATTTATTAGCTAGCTAGCTAGGGTATGCAGTCATACGACTAACGAAAATACGACTAATTTCACCATCATCAGATCAGAACAAAACATAGCTAGCCACCTAAAACCATCTGGTGGGATCCTATAACAAAGAATTAACCATGTACTACAGAACACAGTAAAATAGTATACGTCGTATATAAATATTTCAGAATCAAAATAGCAGTGAGTTGTACATAAATTATGTGAAAGGACTTGGATTTTTATATAAACCAGTTAATGGCATGGAATATTGATTTGGTACGTACATACGTGTTGTGACTTCTATTTATCAAGTGTAAAACTATTACATGATCGATCTCCTATATATTTTTGAAAATTAAAAAGCATGTATGTACGTTATTGAAGAAAATAAATTGAAAGGCTAGTACATACGCTGGTATAGTACTAAAATATAAGGCTAACATAATTAGTACTCGTACGTAACACGCTCCTACTAGCTAGCTTAGTCTTCATTGCAATGAGAAATTATTGTTGACAGTAAGTAGAAAGAAACATGATATATTGGTGATTACAAGCAAGTTACTAGGTTTTGGGTTAATAATACTGAAAATTTGCTGATTAACACTCTAATTAAGAATGTATTGGGAGTAATACTCTTATAATTAAGAGGAGAGAAATAAAACTTGCCTGGAGGTGTGACTTCTGCAGTCTTAGGCTGGTACCGCTTCTCTGAAAAACAATATTGAAATTAATGACAATATAATTAAATTAAACATCAATTTATTTGTTGACTAAAAGATCAAATAAAATACAAATTCCAAAGAATAGACCCGTATAATAACTGTACATTGGTACTCTTATCATCTTATGAGTTATGAGTAATAATAATACTCCTAATACGTAGTAATAATAACTCTATGAACTTCAGAAGGGGCAACATAGGATAAGTATCCGGTCAATATTAAAATCCATTAAGGTTGACTTTTATTCCGTATATTAATTAATCAATAAATTACACTAATTAAGGAATAAATAATCAACTAAGGGTTTAAAATGGAGAAATGGCATACAACTAACCATATATGCAAAGGCATTTTATTTATTTATTTTTTTTATTCTTCTAAAGAAATAGATCGGAATAAACAGTTTTAGATACACCCGACTGTACTTAACGGTAGGTACACGGCTAATGACATCTTTAAAATAATTTTTGATTTTTTTTTTTTTTTTAAATATAGCACTATTAGTCTATTACTAGTGGTGGTGGCCTGGTGGGGGTGGACTGGTGGAGTATAATACTATGTCATAGTGTATGTAATAAAAGAAGAAAAAAAAATAAAATAAATAATGAAAAAAAGAAGGTAGGAAAAAAGAGTACCAGAAATAGGAGTAGGAGCCGGAATAGTAGTAGTTGTAGTATTAGGAGAAGACAGCAAAAGAGGTTGAGGTTCAACCTTAATCTCAACCTCAACTTGATTATCATTATCACCCATAATTTCATCATCCTGCTGCTGCTGCTGCTGCGGGTGTGTAGGTTCGAAATCGGAGAATAACCCGTCATCAGCAGCAGCACTCCTGCCACTGTCAAAGAGCGGTTCGACAATTGAGTCAGGTGGTAATGATTCAGAACCAGAACAAGTAGCAGTAGCAGTGTTGTTGTTGTTGTTGAGAATATCAAAAACTTCTTTATCAAAGAAACCAGGTAATTTCTTCTCTCTTCTCAAATCATTACGCATCAACCAGAAAGAATCAGCCTCATCTTTAACCAAAGATTCCCATTCTTTAATCTTCTTAAAATCACCTGCTAAATTACTCCATCTTTTTCTACACTGAACAGGACCCCTGTTCACTCCATGTCTCTTACAGTAAGATGACACTGTTGCCCATTTTGGTTCCACTTGTTGTTGTTGTCCTTGACTACTATCACACGACACCGCACTTCTTCCTCGGCGTACTCTATTCTCAGCCACCCGTTTTCCTTGAATAAGTACGAGTATTTCCTGTCTCGTCCACCTCGGCAACCTCGCCGCCTTTATTCCTCCTCCTACGCTTCCTCCTCCTCCTCCTCCGCCTTCGTCCCCGGTGTTGTTGTTAAAGTCAACGTCAACGACTGCCTTTGACGGTGTCACTGATAGCGTAACCACCTCCTCTTCCTCATCATCATCATTGTTAATGTTGGTGTTATCGTTATTTGGTTGCTGAGCCATTGAATTCAATGAAGAATCCTTGGCCGAGTTATCTCACAAGTGACACTATTTTTTGGGACGGAATTATAAAGCAAACACCGTTCTTGGAATCTAGAGGGCAATCCCGTTACAGAAAAAACAAACCCCTAAATTCCAGTGTCTCTACCCTCCTCCCCAATTTATTTACCCTAAATAATTCTTTGTTTATTAATTAATAAAAATTGAATTAAAAATAAAAGGAAGATCGAAGGGGTGTTGAAATTTGAAGGGTTGTTGAGAGGAGACTCCTAAAATGAATTAGGACGGTGGGAGGTATTTAAGTATAATATATTGGTAATTAAGTTTGCTAATCTCTTCCCTAATATTGATTATGGAGATTAGAGAGGAGAGTATTGCGTATGACTATGTGGGGACTTGTCAATACCTAATTGATTGTTGATAATTATTGTAATTAATTTAATTAATTAAATACTAATATGGGGGATTTATTTCTTTATTTGAGAGATAGCCCCAATTGGGGTTTACTTTCTTCATAGTACCATATATCTTAATTATCTTCTCTTTACTTATTTACCTTATATTCCTCCCTTTCTTATCCCCTTCACTTTCTTCTTTTTTTGACTCATTTTCCATGTTTTCAAGTTTAATTTACCTTTCCTTGAATTTTTTTACTTATAAAACAGGGGGAAAAAAACGATAAATAAACAAAGTAAATAAACAATACACAAATTCTTACATGTGGTTGGCCAGTGTTAGAGGGGCTACTCAGTCAATGTTATGGAGGTAATTTAATTAGTGTTATAGAGATTATTTTGTTCTTTTAAGAGCGGCCATACAGCGGTCAACACACCAAAATGCATTATCATTTGTAAGTTGGAAAAATTGTTTTGTTTCAATCAAATAAAACAAAAACAATAATCTAGCTACTTTGTAAATTATTTGAGTATAATTCAATGTATTTTCAATTTACTAGAGGATATTATTGTACTTTTTTTTAAGGGAAAGATATTATCATACTTTGTATTTTTTTGAAAAAAATGTAATTAAATGTTTGCAAACCAAAAAAAAATCCTATAACAGAAAAAATAACGAAATAAAAAATTAAAAACACTAGATTTATGATAAAATAAAAATGTAGAGAATAGAATCGACTAATCTCATTAATTTGAAGATAATGATGTTGATTGCAAAACGATCCTTTTACTCCATAAGGCAAATCTACCCTACCACTAAAAGAAAGACTTCTCCTATTTGCAACTCCTTTATTTTCTTCTCCACCTCATCCTTCATTATATTATTAGGCATAATTATCTACCAAATACTCATTAGTGTCCCTTTATTAGTGGCTCCTTTAATTTGTTGTTTTGAATTAAAACTTTCTAGACTATTGAGGTACACCCATTTTGCCCTTTCTTTCTTACACCATTCACATATATATTTATGTGATATTTGCCTATCCTTGTCATTCATTGTCCTTAAACAATTTTCCATCTTCTCTAATCAAAATAATTTTAATTATTATTATTATTAGTATTTTGCCCCTAAGAAAGCTTCCAAAGATGAGCATAGAAACGCATTTAGGGGTTGTCATTAAGGGAAGAGTTAGTAAAAGGTCATATTCTCCTTGTGACCTGCCATGGGGACCACTTGTTTAGTGCCTAAATATAAGCTATAATGACCTTATAGTGCATTAGTGGGCTACTTACCTCTAATCTTTGATATTAATAGCAATTTTATTTTTACTTTTGGTGTATAGAGAGCTATAAACGGCCATAATATAGATGGAATTCGACCTAAATTTTCAGATCTCACCATCCCAAAACTTTACCAATTACGAGTAATTAAATTTAATTACCACATACAGAGTATATGTTTAGTTAAACCGCATAAAGCTATAGCTAATACTTCGTATTAAACAATTTTCCATTTTTTTTAAAAAAAAAAAATCCATTTAGCTAAAATTATTTTACCGGTTTTTTATGGAGTATGGAATAAGTACAAATACACGATTTGATAGGTACAAATATTCTCATAGATAACTTAATTCTCTTTTTTAAGGCATTTCTTTCATTGGGGCATATACTCACTCATATAGCAATATATAGCATGGTATCAATCTCGCTTCAAATCATCACTCTAATCTATTTATCCTTTCAAGCGAACAATTAAAAATAATAACTAGAGATTATGCGGCTAAACTTTTTAACGACACAAGAGGTGAAGAGGAATGTTAGTGAGCTATGAGTTGTACATGAACATTATTTACAAAATTTGGCAGGAGCACACAACCCATAAGTAGATCACTAGACCTATTAATTTTTTTACCAATCAACCCAAAACATAAATTACTATAGTGCCCTCTGACAACACATGGGTCAAGCCATACTTCCAAACATGCTTAAAACACAAGACATGTTAGCACGATACAAGGGCTATGTGACATGGCACAAGCCCTTTAATTGAATAGTCCGTTCAAATTCCTAAATTTTATGAAAACCAAAAGGATTTTCTTAACGAATAAACACTCACCAGTAAAAGATCAAGTTATGGGGTTAATGAATAATGCAAGACCATGATATAGAATTTGGCAGCCAACTCTGTTTGACTCTGCAAAACAGCTACTACGATTAATATTGCCTTACAAATTGATCCTGAAAATTGTTATCGTCTAAAATACTGAAAATTGCTGTACAAAGAAAAATTTAATTCTGTTTGACTCTGCTAAACAGCTACAACGTTTATAGAATGGGTCAATTAACTATGGCAAGAAATTATAGGAATTGTTGAGCTTCAGCACCAGTCAGGGAACTAAACTAATACAAACGTTTCCGACAATCTCCTGTACCGCAGAAACAAGGCAGTACTTTAACTTTTCCATCAGAGCCTATAACGCTATCCAGTGCGTACCCATAGTCGTAAGTCAGTTCCTGTTGCAAGAAGCATACATCAAGTAGTAATCAGCAGACAGGTCACAGTGTATTTAGAGGAAAAAATAAAAAGGAAAAACTTAAAAAATAAAGAGCAATTGCTAATGACTTCAGTTAGAGCAACAATGAGGAAATAAAGTCCTAAACCAATCAGAAGGCTGTACTTCTAAGACAAATGACAGATCAGATGAATTCATGCTTGTTACTTTGTTAGTCATTAGTTTCAGTAGTCAAAATATCAAATTTCACTATATGAACACAGAATATAGTTCCAAGTACGAAATAAAAACCACTTTTATTTGCTATCCTAGACCTAGTTATTAAGGTACCACAGAAAACTGGATGGCTGAATTAGAATGAATTTGTAATAATCAATGATTAGATCATTAAATTTTAAGCGCTGATACAAGGTCATTCAAATCTGGTAATTTAAATTTTCCAAAGCAATTATTAAAATTACATCATTAATGCAAACTAATCACATCATTAATGCAACAACGAGAAACATGTTTAAACAATTATTTTCTGAGGTGCATTTTAAAAAAGAAAATCCAGTCCTCCAAACATAAAGAACAGAATCCGGCCAAGCAGTCAAAGGAGTCAAAATACCTGCATGGGCGGTATATTGTCTGCAGCAATGAGCACAATGCGAGCTAATCGTAAGTCATGGTGTGCACTCAAGATACATTGCACAAATAAATTAGGTTCACAACTGTGATTAATAAATCTAGCAACATTTCCTCTAGAACCTGCATCAATACAAAACTCCGGTGTACCATCTAACATCGTCTTATCAATCTTTGGTATACTTATAGCAGAGGACACCTGTACATTTCCTAAGCGTCTCTGAAAATAGAGATTAAATATTATTAAAGGACGAGAGTTGAGGATTGTACAAAAAAAATGTTTCTAATAATCAGTTTTACTAGGCAACACAAGAAAAAACACAATGTTCAGCTAAGAATTTAGTTGACACCACAAACGAATGATATACTTGTATCAGATATAATATTCCACGAGAATCTAATATGAAGCTCATGCAACAGGCCATAACATGACATACAAGAGAACATATACAGGGTCTTAAAATCCAAGGCTTAAGGAAATCGAATGATGCATCCATAACAGTACTTATTTTGCATTAACATTGTCACTATGCACAGTTCTCACACTTGCAATATCTAAATAGTTAGTACACATCCATTCAATTTAAGATAAATTATCACATCCCCTTCCTCACTTCGATGTATTGTCATTGATACATGCAATTACAATTTACAAGTGGCAACTTGTCAATAAACAATAGCAGACATTTGAATATAGTTGCAACATTACCTCTCTTCCTTCGATCTCATTAATGGTGTGCAAGCAATCAATTTCAAAGATGTATTCATTTGACTCATCTACAGCAATGCTATCAAGTTCATCACTTCTTCTCACCACTCCGATGTATTCGCAAAGCGGTGCACCTGAAGGAATATAATCCCATGACCTAACAGCCCAACCCTTGTCAGGTGTACGATACACCTGCTCAAAAGACAAAAGCACAGTTAATGTATGATACATGATAAATTAAAGATTTGATGCTATCAAAATCAAACCTCAAGACGGTATTTGATTTTCCTTTGAGATATGCGATTTAGGCATCCAGGGTTGCAGCCACAGTTTGGTCCACATTCAAAAACAACATCCTTGGGCTCAGCTAACCTGGAAACCATAATTGCTTCAATAAGATAAAGTTCCAAGAACAAAAATAATAGAATACAACAACAAAGCCTTAGTCCCAAAATGATTTGGGGTCAAATAACATGAATCGTCATAAGAAATCATCAGCCAAAGAAAAAGGTTTCAAAAGACGATATCCACTTAAAAAAGTTTAAAATAAGGTGTGTAAAATGAGAAAACGAAAAATTTAAGAGTTTCATAATATAGTACCAAGAATAAAATTTAAGAAAGTTTTAAAAGAGTAATAGTGGTAAAATATGTGAGTAAAAAACATAATGGCTTGAGAAAACTTTAGCAAAGAAATATTCCCTCCGTGTTTTAATAAGTGTTAACACTTACCAAATCCGACCATGTTTTAATAACTGTTACACTTCCTTTTTTGGCAAAAAACTACAATAAAATATTATATCTCTCTCCTCTCATGGTCCCCACCCAAACCCACTACTATTTTTTTTATTATATATTTCCTCTCACATTCATTACTTTTCAATAAACTATTAACCCCACTATCTTTCTTTTACAATTTTTTAACACTCCAACTACCCCACTTATTTCTTATTTTATTTAAGTCCATTAAACTGCCTAAAACTATGTGCAGGTCAAACTGTAATACTTAAGTAAATAAAGTTTATCAACCACGAATTGAGTGAATAATAATAGTAAATGCTAAGTTAAAATAAACAAAAGTAAATACTATATTATTTACAACTTTGGAGGGCTACATGAACTCCTTAAAAAAATTTGTTTATGAGTGTTAAAGAGAGAGATAAATATATGGATGCATGTGATGAGGAGAAAGATAGAGAAATGACAACCTCAAAAGAAAAGAAAATATCTGTTAAAAATAATGTGTAGCATATATTTTTGGCAAAGGTAAAGGTAGTATGTAATCATGATGCGTTGTTGACGTGAATTTTCTCCACACGGCCTTGTTTCAACACCATGTTTTCCTCAATCCCCAAAGCACACATATCACTATCAACCACCCTCTAGAAAGTTTTCTTAAGTTTCCATCTAACGATCCTAACACTTTGCATCTTGTCTCACTTGGTCTCCTTCTATTCTTCTAACATGGTCAAACCACCTTAAGCAATGTTCCCTCATCATGCAATCAATCGTAGTAACCTCTACTTTCTTCCAAATTATCGCATTCCACAATCAATCCTTTCTTATATGGCTACACATCCATCGCAGCATACACATCTCTGCCACATTCATTTCATGCACGTGGCAATGTTATACAATTTACATCCAACATTCTCTGCCATATAACAAAGCAGGCATTATTGTCATTCGGTAGCATTTACTATAAAAGAAAAAAAAAACCGTTGCACTCTTCCACTTCAATCAAATCGCT